GTTTGATTGCTGAAGTTATACTGTACTCTGAAGGTTTTGAATCTTCTAAAGTTTTAGCTAGAAAAATGGTTAACATGTATAGACTGTGTTCAGAGCAACTTTCTCAACAAGGCCATTATGATTTTGGAATGCGAGCTGTTAAGTCTGTACTAGTAATGGCTGGAGCATTAAAAAGAAGTAATCCTGATCTAAATGAAAATGTAGTGCTCATAAGAGCTTTAAGAGATAGTAATTTGCCCAAATTTTTAGTAGCTGATGCTGTTTTGTTTACAGTATGTTTTTTTTATATCTTTAGTAATGTAAAGATGATCAGTTTTGTATATTTTATCATGTTTGCTGCATTTCTATATGTTTTATATTATATTTTATTTTCAAGGCTATTCTTCAAGACTTGTTTCCTGGGGTTGAAATTCCAAGCAACAACTATGGGAAGTTGCAACTTGCAATTGAGGAATCTTATGCAATTAATAAACTCCAAGTTTGAAATTTATTATTATAGTAATAACTAGATAGTGTAACAATTTTGATATTAATGTAAGTATAATAAATTATTATTGTAAATAATAATAATTTATTATATTTGCTAATAAACATTTGCAAAAATATTAAAAATTTTTTTGTAGGTTATTCCTGCAATGGTGGCAAAAACAATTCAATTATATGAGACATTGTTAGTGCGTCATGGTGTTATGTGTGTTGGTCCTGCTGGAGGCGGAAAAACAACAAGTTATCAAGTAATAGCTAAAGACATTTAATTTATGTTGTGCAAATAAAAAATAAATTTTTTAATAATTTGAGTTTACAAAAAAGCTCTCCAGAAGTATTGGAAGTTACCTTACACCCTTCTAATTATTTAAAGAAAGGCATTTATCTAACTAACAAAACAAGATAGGTAGACTAGTAACAAGCAGTATACAACTAAGGAAGCTTGAATGGCTCTATGTAGAGTTAAAAGTTTCCAAAAATTTTCCAGGAAGTTTTACTTAAAATTTCTGGAAATTTTTACAACTTTAACAATTTTTATTAAAATTTTCACAAATTTTTTATTGCAATAAACTTACATAGTTTTAAAATAAAGTTCATTTTTTTGTTTCAAAACTATGCGTTTTATCATCGTAGTATTTATATATTCTTTAAATATTTCAACAAAAAATATAAAATAATAAAGCAAAAAATACACATCTTTTAATTCAAATTTTTATAATCAAGTTTATCATTTTAAGAATCGTGCATTTTTAAAAAAAAATAATAAAATGCTCAAATTGTTATATGTTACTTTTACATAAATTACTTTTGTGAAACAACAAAAAGTAGATGTTTTGCAAGTTGGTCTGTCTTTTGAGCTTGTGTATAACATATTTCTAGCTTTTACTTTTCTTAACTACAAAGTAAAATATTCACAAAACACAAAAAATAAAATCTTTTTTAAATAAACAAGTTTTATTGTGTATTATTTTTGTTTTACAGAGACAAAGATTATGTGTAAAGATTGCATATAAAAATTTAAAAAATATAAAAAGATTTTTATGTATAATTTTTATGCCTTTAAAACATCGTTAAAAATGGTAGATGTTATAAATGCACTAGTTGTGTTAAATTATATTAATTTATCTAAAAATGACATTAGAAAAGACATTTGATCTGAATGTTTAGTAAAATAAAAATAAATTAATTTGCTTGGTTTGATACTTATAAAACAAACAAACATAAATTGCCCTCTTGGCAGTATTGGTTGAAAAATATGGTATACATTTAAACCATTTTAAAGTATTGCATAATTTTTTAATTCATTGATTTATAAAGTCAAAATTCCCCTAGCAAGGTTGTGGCGAGTGAGATACAAGTCTTTAAAGCACTTAAACAGCGGTGGAATTTATGACCTCGAAATCATTAGTTCTTTATTTTTATTGCTAAGTATATTTTGAAATAGTTCAAATTTAGAAAAAAAATTTCTTTACTTTTTGCCTTTCATTAATCAATAATGTCTTTAAATCAAGAAAAAATTGTAAAATATTGTAAAAATTCTATCAAGTCTTTTTATATATAATTTTATAGTTTTTAGTAACTTGTAGGCTGATCTAATAGATAATAAAAAATGACCCATCTCTTTTAGGGATGTGGTTGCAAATTATGTTTAGCCTTAAACAAAGCTTGTTACGACAATCAACATCAATACACTAGCAAGTAACTGGACAAAACAGTTTTTGAAAATTTTGAAAACAAATTATCATAGTTACTACTTATAGTTATAACAAAACAACTCAACAAAATACCAAAAAAAGTGTTTTTCAAAGGGGGTTTTCTAGAAATTTTATAATCTGGTTCAGAATATTTTTACATAAAATTGTCTATAACAATTGTCTAAATAAGACCTTAAATTTTACTCATTAATTATAAAATAACTTATCTTGAAAATTTCCAAAATTTCCAGAGTTGAAAATCATTGGTATATTTTTTTAGGTTCTTCAAAATGCCCTTACAAAGCTTTATACAGAAAATAATTTAGATTCATTTTACCTGCCTGTTCACACTTATGTTCTTAATCCCAAGGTAAATTTCTTTTTGTTATAATTTCTCACTATTTTTTAACTATATATATACACAAAGATTTACTAATGTTAACTAATATATTTTTTATTTAGTATATTTTATATAACATTATTTAATGTTTTTTAGTTATTTTTAAAAATTTTTAATATACTTTTTAGTATTATTTTTCATACAAAATGTTTGTTTTATCTTCCTTGCTTGGTAATTAAAGAATTGTTTCTTTTAATTCATACAGTTTTACACTTTTATTAAGTTATAAGATAAATAGATTTTTAAGTTATTCAGAAAATTGTATTTCTAAAATAGCTGAAATAAATGAGCAGTATTTGTCTATATGTCATTTAAAATTAAATGTCCAGTTAGTTTTTTCTTGAATGGACAAATATTTTTTATTAATGAAGGAAGTTTTATAAAAATGATAAACTATACTTTACCTTAAATATGTATAATGTATATAGACATGTAAACAATATAGCTGTTGACTGGTTGCAAGCAAAAACATTATTAAATGTTTTTTAACATTATCAAATGTTTTTTAACATTATCAAATATTTTTTAACATTATCAAATATGTTTTAACATTATCAAATTAGTTTTAACACTATCAAATGTTTTTTAACGATAATAATTTCAGCAGGAAGCAGATAATGAACTAACACATACAAAATTGCAATATTAGATGAAACTCATTGTGCATTAAAAAAAATGAATACTTATATAAGATTAAGAAGTTGAGATTAAGAAGCAGGCTGAAACAACAGTTTCAACTAAAAATCAAATGCATAATTTTCTCAAAAAAAGCTTTTTAAAGCTACTACAAGTCATGAAAAAATGCATGCAATTATACGCGTTCAAACACACACAAACACACACAAAAAAAAAAACACTTAAGTGTGTAATAACATCTAAAAAAAATGTTTTTATTTATATGTAAACAGTCCATATCTATTGGTGAGCTGTATGGAGAATTTAATAAACTTACAATGGAGTGGAAAGATGGTCTTATGGGTTTGACTGTTCGACATTGTGTTCAGGTTTTGAATAATTTTTAGTAAATATAATAGTAAATTAAAGGAAATTAGAAAAAAATATAACAATTTTATATTATTCTGAATTTTTAAAAAAAAATTTTTTCAACATTTTAAAATTGCAACATAGTTGAATTAAACATCTAAAATCTTGAACTTTTTTCAAAAATATTTGTTCACTTTTTCTTGAGTTGTTAGTTGACTTCTATGTTAATACTCATTTTAAATGATTTAATAGGATACTTCTAAAGACCATAAATGGATTGTTTGTGATGGTCCAGTCGATGCTCTATGGATAGAAAACATGAATACTGTACTGGATGATAACAAGATGCTGTGTTTGGCAAACTCTGAGCGAATTAAATTAAACAGTTCAATACATATGTTATTTGAAGTACAAGATCTTGCAGCTGCTTCTCCTGCAACAGTTAGCAGGTGCTTTTTAAAACCTATAACATCAAACAATTAAATTAAAACATTTCATGTTTCAATGTTTTCTTCTATATCTGTTTTTTCTCTAAAACATGTATTGTACAGGTAAATGATCCAATAAATGTAATAACATGTGGATGTTAAGATAAATAAGTATCGAAAAATGCTCATATTTTAGTTGTGTATCTAATTTTAATTTGTGTATCTAAAGAGTCCTCTACTTTTTTTTTTTTCAAAAATAATTTTAACTTGGAAACACTATATTCAATTGATTGGAAAGTTAACATATGCTAAGCTTGCTTTTTTTCAATTTTTTTTATTTTTATTTTCTATTCCAATTTTTTTTTCTAATTTTTTTTCCTTGTTTTTAGTTCTTTGAAATTTTTTCAGCTTGATGTTTTCTTTACTTGCATAATTCAATTTTTATGTCAACCGTTTTCTTTCTTTTTAAATCTTTTCTTAGCTTTTTAGTACTAAATAACTTAAATAGCAATTTCTTGGAGCTTTTTTGAAGTAAATATTTTTTAAAAAATTATTATTTGTGACATGATTTAAAATTAGAAAAAAAAAAAAATATATATATATATATAGAGTATACGTTTATGATATGTGTATTCTGAAATCTTAATATGATAGATGTGGAATGGTGTATTATGACCCAATGAATTTGGGATGGAGACCATATGTTAAATCATGGCTGAAAAGAGTTAGCAGTCATTTAAAACAGGAATTTCAAGTAAAAAAATGTTTTTTTTCATTAATTATATTTTTTTATTGTTTTACGCTGTTTTTTTATATTTGTTTTATTTGTTATTTTTTTAATTTTTGATTTAATGATGGGAGTGTACATCAACTGACTTAAATAGGGAGAAATGCAGGAAGTGTACATATATAAGGGACCAAAATAGGTAGAATATACAGGGAGTGTATATACTACTGTGATCAAAAAGTAAGGTGAATTTTTAATTTAAACTTCCCACCTTATTCGAA